GAGGAGACCTTTGCTCCTGTATAGGATACTGTACAGATCCGTAACTTGTTTGTCGTCTGAAAAAGTCACTTTATGGCCTAAAGCAAGCCCCTAGGGCATGGTTTGAAAAGTTCAGATCCGTCATCACCAATGTTGGCTTTACCCAGAGTCTTTCTGATCATTCCTTATTCATCTTAAGGAGGAAGCAGGGAGTAACAATGTTACTCCTCTATGTTGATGATATACTCATTATAGGGGATGATACAGAAGGAATTTCTAGGCTACAATAGTTACTTAGTGAATCCTTCAAGATGAAGGGCTTGGGACCTTTGACATATTTCTTGGGCCTGGAAGTGAGCAGAAATTCTCGAGGCTACTTTGTTAAACAGAAGTATGCGGTTGACCTGGTTAAAATGGCAAATCTTAGTGACTCTAAGATTGTGGACACTCCACTAGAACTAAACCTGAAACTTAGCAAAGATGATGGGTCTCCCCTTGAAGATCCTACCCTTTATCATCAACTAGTGTGAAGTTTAATCTATCTCCCCATGACTCGGCCAGACATATCTTATGCAGTTCAGATAGTAAGTCAGTTTGTTTCTTCTCCGAGACAACCACATTTATTTGTAGTTCATCGGATTATAAGATATGTGTGAGGCACACTGTCACCTGGGATATTCTTCTCCTCATCATCTCCCATTCATCTTATGGCCTATGTAGATGCTGATTGGGTTGGATGCCCTGACACCTGACGGTCCACTACTGGCTGGTGTGTCTTCCTAGGCAACTCCCTTATCTCCTGGAAGTGCAAGAAACAAGCTATTGTGTCCAAATCTTCCACTGAAGCTGAATACAGGGCTATGTCTTCCGTGTGTAGTGAGATCATATGGCTTTGGGCTCTTCTATTTGAAATACTAAATGAGCCATCGTTGTTTGTTCCTCTTTATGCAGACAATATCAGTGCAATAAAAATTGCATCCAACCCCGTCTTCCATGAGCGCACCAAACACATAGAAGTTGATTGCTACTTCATTCGTGATCTCCTTCTTGAGGGTACCATATCTCTTCCTCATGTCTCTTTCGGGCTTCAACTAGCAAACTTGTTAAAGCAATGACACGGGCTCGGCATCTATTTCTCATGGACAAACTTATGCTTATTCCTAGGCATCAGTTTGAGGGGGAGTGTAGAGACAGTGAAATCTAGTCGTAGAGCTATTTTGTACTTTTACTTTTCTTAGTTGTATATCTATTCTTTGTATTATCTCTCCTGTACATTAAGGGCAGATCTGTCCTTTTACAACTTAATATTAATATATCTTTCAGGGTGTCAACTGACACAAGGTGTCACACCCACCATTAGGTCGTTCTCTCTCTATCTGTCTCTCTCTTTCCCTGACTTTCGAACTAACTCTGACAAAGCCTAGATCATGGGCTGGTGTAGAATGCCTGAAGTCCAAAGCTATTGCAGTCCAGAAAGGAAATTGTACACTATTGCCACCCCAAGAAGAAAATCAGAAATTCGAAAATTTCACCAAATCAGATGCTATATGTAGGGTGAATAGATCAGGTCAAGGCAACACTAGATCTGAAGTTTGGCCTCAAACCAAGGTCTCCCAAGAGAGATCTAATAAAATCTCTCTTGTTGGTTGTGCAAAGTAGACTGAACAGCAATTAGGGTTGATCAAAACAGCCTTAATCTTTCTCAAGGAAGAGAGAGAAATAAATCCTAATAGGACAATAGGATTAGTGCTTCTCGTGAGAATCAAGAGAAGAGAAAATAGATTAGAGAGCAACCTGCCCTGATAACATTACGAACACCAAATCGGTTGAGAACTCAACAACTGAAATACATTTAGATGTTTAAACTCTGGATTGACAGAAATCCAGGATATCAGTTTACTGCCTACCGCCTGTCCTATCTCCTCAGGGCTTTTCACTTTTTGATTAAATATTCTGTTGTTTCTCTCAGACCAAATGGCCCAGAGCACTGTTGCTGAGTTAGTACTCCAGACTAGCTTTCCTTTTTTCTTCAAATTACTGATCTTCCAGCTACTGAGCACCTCCTTTACAGATTTAAGCATGACCCAACAAATCTCCACTGCCCGTAAGAAGTGGTTCCACACCTAGGCAGCAACCGGGCAATGAACACAAAGGTGATCAGCAGTCTCTGAGTGTGAACCACAAAGAGCACGAGTCATCAATTATCTGCAAGCCTCTTCTTTCTAGGTTGGATCTGGACAGGCATTTATTTAAAGCCATGGTCCAGACAAGGAAGTTCACTTTTGAGGGACTAACTGAGTTCCAAATTTGCTTAGATGGAAAGTCTCCCACTGCAACCCTACTACTGAGTCTACTGGCCATTGATTTTATTGAGAAGCTACCCTCTTTAGACCACTTCCAAGTCCACTCGTCCTCCTGAATATAGTCAATACTCTGAGCTTGCAAAATTTCCAGCAATCTCATAGCTTCTTCCATTTCCCAATCAAAAAGAATTCTTCTAAACTGTGGAGCCCATGTCACCTCAATTCCTGAGAAACTGTAAGAATTGGCAATCGAAGCATTCTGATTGGAGGCACATTGATAAAGAGTAGGGCAATCTTCAGCCAAAGGGTGATCTAAGTACCAAGGATCCTTCCAGAATCTAATTCTGTCTCCTATGCCTACTTTGAAGCTTACACCCTCTCTAAAGGAAAATATCTCATTATGCCTTTCCATAAAGAGCAGCCCCAATTTGTAAGGGGATCCCTTGACCTCTAGTTTTCCCATTCTACTCCAAACTTGGCAGCTATCAGGCTTCTCCACTAGGCACCCCTTTCTGTGGCAAACCTCCAGATTCACTTACTAAGAAGAGCCGAATTTGTCACCTTTATCTTCCTTAAACCCAGACCCCCCCTTCTTCCATAGGAAGGCATATTTGCTCCCATTTGACAAGATGAATCTTCTTTCCTTCCTCCCAACCCCTCCACAAGAAATTCCTTTGGAGAGTCTCCAATCTCTTAGCCACCTTTGTTGGGATAGGAAACAGGGAAAGAAAATAAGTGGGGAGATTTGAGAGGGTACATTTTAAAAGGGTTACTCTTCCTCCAAAAGACAGATATTTTGCCTTTCAAGTGGACAACTTTTTTTCCAATCTTTCTATTACCGGGTCCCAAATGGCTGAAGAGGAACTTTTAGCTCCCAAGGGCAGTCCCAAGTATTTTACAGGGAGCTGTTCCACCCGACAAGCCATAACATTTGCGCATTCCTCCAATTTAGGAACCTGACCCACTGGAATAATTTGGTTTTTGCTGAGGTTGACTTTCAGACCTGCCACTACTTCAAACCAGCTGAGAATCCCTAGTAGGTTCTCCAACTGCTCCTGGGAAGGATCTATGAAGCATAAAGTGTCATCAGCAAATTGGAGGATATTGACTTTTTCCTCCCCTGGGAATATAGTAAACCCTTCCCACAGACTACATTGAGCTGCCTTCTGACTGAAGAGAGATAAGACCTCAGCAATACAAATAATGAACAGAGGAGAGAGGGGATCTCCTTGCCTAAGCCCTCTGGAGCTCTCAAAAAAACCTGCAGATTGTCCATTTAACAGGATGGAAAATTTTGGAGAGGATACATAAACTTTCATCCAGTTCCTCCATTTTTTACCAAAATTCATTTTTTTTTTCAAGATACTATCTAAGCATCTCCAACTTACATGGTCGTAAGCTTTTTCTATTTCTAGTTTGCACATCAAACCCGGTCTCCCCTCTCTCTTTCTTGAGTCAATCAATTCATTTGCAATGAGAGCTGAATCAATAAGTTGTCTTCTCGGCACAAAGGCACTTTGAGTGCTTGAGATCACACTACTTAACACTTCCTTCATCCTTTCAGCTAAAACTTTAGCCAGAATCTTGTAGAAGCTGTTCAGAAGACTTATTTTCCTGAAGTCTTTTAACTGCACAGCCCCCTCAATTTTGGGTATAAGAGTGATAAAAATGTTGTTCAAGCTTCTTTGCAATGAAGCACTTGAGTGGAAGGCCTGAAAAGTATTTAAGATATCTTGCTTCACAAAAACCCAACACTTGACATAGAACATGTTGGAAAAGCCATCCGGCCCAGGAGATTTCTCATTCTCCAAAATGTTGATTGCTGACTTAATCTCCCCTCCTCAGTGAAAGGTCTTTCAAGGGAGCACCTTTAATCTTCACTCAACCTCTTAAATGGGAGATTTAAAGGGAGAGGTTTACACTTCCAATTCTCCTTATAAAGATTTTTATAAAAAGAAGTTGCAATAACTTTAATTTCTGCAACAGATTCTCCCACCTTATCGTCCCAAATTAGTTTGCTAATTGAAGAATTTCTGATTCTAGCATTTGCCATCTTATGGAAATAACGAGTGTTCCTGTCCCCTGCTTTAAGCCAGATTGTCTTAGCTCTCTGTCTCCACTTTATTTCCTCCTTCACTGCCAGTTTGTCAAAAACAGATTTTGACTTTAACATGAGAACACTGTTCTCTATAAAACTAATTTAAGAAATAGAAATTGACCCAAAAAACTTCTAATTGATTTAGAACTAAGACAAACCTATAGAGGCACTCAAATTTGTAACTCATTACAAATCCTATTAAAACTAACTTAATGTAAAGAAACCAGAAATTATTAAAATAGTAAATCATGATTTCACTATGAATCGTGCTTGCAAGAATTGCCATAAACCTAAAAGTTATTTATTATAGATGATAATGTTGATTTTTGCTAAGAATGGTAAATTTCTAAAAGCTCAAAAAATACCAATATCTTGATCACCCAAATTTCTGAAATTGCTGTAGGAATCAGAAAAGTGGTTTATCTCTCTACTGATTCTTTCGTCACTTAATCTGTATCATATTTCAAAACAACAATATCATTGTCACCTTTTACAGTGATCCAATTGTTGTCTTGGTTGATTTTCCTATTTCATTACTTATGGTGCTGTATGTTGGGCAAGCAAAGATAAGATGGACTTTGGCCCAAAACACAAAAGTGGCAGAAGGCAAAGAAAGTCACCTGGTAAAGCTTCTTTTCTCCTTAGTAGTTGGTGTGTTGTTGGAGATTGACATTCATCATACTGCCACAAAATATCACTAACAAGGATGGGAGGTCTGCATTTTAAAATAAAAAAGGTTATATAAACAAGTGATCAACAATATGGCACTAAGCAGAATGGAATCACAAAACAGGATTCATGTAGCCAACCCCATATTGTTGGGATAAGGCTTAAATGATCATGATGATATAAACAGGTGATCAGAAAACTTTTCCAAAATCTTCATGTTGAAGTAAATGTCATATCTTTCAAATTTTTCCAAAGAAACCATGATAAATGCATCTGCAAGATGAAAAGGAGAATCCAACACAACCTTAAAGTTACAAAGTAAAATACAACAATTAATATTTATGATGACCCTGAAAAGGCTCAAAACCTTTTACTAGTTCTGGCTTCTAGATCTCATTCACACAACCCTAAGGTCTTAATTTGAGCCTCACAACTAATCATGAGATCAAAACCTTTTATTAGTTCTGGCTTCTAGATCTAACTCACACTAGTGAGACTACATTGTATTTGCAAGATCCTCAACCCATGAGATCCTGTCACTGGATCTTGCTTGGTCTTGCAAAATCACGTTTCTGCAATCTTGTGAGCCCCCCAAAAGGGCTCCTGCGAGGCTGTCTTTCTGTGATATCGAGGTTCCAGTGACCTCACACTCCCAGTCGATGCCTCACTCTCAAATATATATATATACTCTCACATTAGCTCCTTGCTTAATTGATCCCCTCCTGATGAATGGTGCTCAAACTCAACTTCAACAGCTGCATCCTTGGAAATCCGGGGCCCTTGGGAGTGGATGGAGTTGTTAGAGATCATGGATGTAGTATCATACCAAGCTTTTCAGGTCTGGTGGGCCAAGGGAATTCTTTAAGGGCTGAACTTCTGGCCTTGGTTCAAGGTTTGAAGTTGTTGGCTAGGCAGGATTGACGGAATGTGGAAGTAGAGGGTGACTGTCAAATGGAATTATGTTGGATGACATGTCAAAGTCAAATCCCTTGGAAAATCAGACCTCTAGTCAGACTGGCTCAATCTCTAGGTGCTGCCTTGAATGCCTCATTCAAGTGGGAGCCTAGGAGTGCCAACATAATGGCTGATTCTCTGGCTAAGGCTGGGGTTGGAAAAGTTTGTTTAGATTGGGGATGCCCAGGTCCAGCTGCTAATTTGTAATAAGTAATCAGTTTTCTGTCACTTGTTTTTGTTTCTGTTGTTACTTGTGGTAAGGCTTCTCTTGGGTGGCTCAATGTTGTACCCTTTTTTTCTGCATAATTTGTGTGCGGTTTGGTATTGAATGAATAAATATATACCCTGTTACTTAAAAAACAAAGGCTTCCACACTTTAAACTAGTAAAAGGAGTTCCTTCAGAGCACTATGCCCCAGTCCAAAAAGGTCTCTTTAATCCTTACCTGAACCACAAATAGATTCTGCTCCAGTTGGTCCAAATTTTGGGCAGAAATCTCCAGAACTCTTTCTTGACTTCAATAACTAACTCTGAGATCTCCAAGAAAAACTTCTACTAACTGGGTGACATCAACCAAAGATGATCAGCACTTCAATCCTCCATACACCCTGCTGATCCTAGAGTGTACAAATTCAAGGAAGAGGAAAAAGAAAAAATTGTTGCTTCGATACCAAGATGTGAATCAGAAGTGTAATATGAGATTTAATCAAAAAAAGTTAGAGAATAGGAAAAAGAAGTTCCGACAAAGGAAGAAGAAGGTTTGAAGAATAGGGTGAAGAGGGAGGAGAATCTAATGTTCTCATTCCCCCTCAAATCCTCAATTGAATTTATCAAACTATTCATAATTGAATGTAAAACTAAATGGATGCCCCTATTAGGGCAGTTGCATATAAACTAAAACATAAAGAGAGCTGTAAGAGCATAAATAATAGTAGGCCCAAAGGATTACAAAGCCCAACAACCCCTCGGCCCACTATCCAAGTATTTCTACAAACTTCAAAAATATTAAAAATAAAATCTATACAAAAATATTAATATTTACAAATGCTATAAATTTATTATAACAAATCTGTATGAAATTTCTGATATTTTGATTTTTTTTTTTATTTTAAGTGGTCAAGATTTCCATTGAAGCCAACATTTTAAACCTTAGTTGGGAGGAGTAACTTTGTGGCACTTCCCTCCACTGAGGAATTCTAAAGTATATGGGTGTGCATTGATTCTTCTGTTTGTGTTTGGTTAGGTGTTGTGCTTTTTCGGTTGGCCTTAGCCTGTTTTTAGTGAAGAGAAAGTGTCATGAAAAAAAGAAAAGACATAGAAGATAACAGTGGGGAGAAAAAACAGTCACGCAACTGCAAGTCTGCAACCAACTATTATTTATTCTTAGAGTCGATTATAATTTAAATTACCAGACTACCCTTACATGAATTCTCCTTACACCTCTGCACCTTCAAATTAACACTGAACCAGTCCTTGTAGCCAACACACTTGGGAGATAAACCAGAAACTTTCACATGTACAGCACACTGCACACTTTTACACTGTCAAACAGCATACACAGGCTTCTTGATTAACACTTGCAGTCTTCATTCTTCACCAAACACAAGGTACTGTTATCAACAATATTCCCTCTGACCTGCTGTGTTCCACACAGCTTCAACTCTGAACACTATCATCACCAGCTACCATGTTCGTCTTTCAAAGGTCAATGAGGAAACTAAACTACAACCACAAACACCTTACAGTCACCAACCAAAGGTGACTATAAGTGAAAACAACAAGCAAAGTATTCACAAGTCTGAATAATTATGAGAAGGATGGATTCAGATCTGTGATATTGCAGGTCTTTATAAAAGAAAGAAAAAGACAGGTTGAAAGAAAGAGATTATTCCCAGGTTAAATTAGCTGAACTCTTTAGGTGTGTAGCAGACTGTGGAAAAAATACATGGGGCCCACACTGAGATTGAATGGTTGTGGGCCCCATGTATTTTTATGACTGGTGTGAAGTGTTATTATTGGTTCCACAGCCTACTAAACAGCTATTGCATTCAGCTAATCCTATCTCAGTTAATGCTTTGATACCATATCATAAAATATCAGAGCATAAAGTGAATAGTGAGAAAAATGCTTGTATAAGAGGAAAAGAAGAGAGAGGAGAGAGAGAGAGAGAGATGGTGGAGAGAAAATCAGTCTCCACCTACGCCCAACCATTACTTTTACTAGTTACAACTGAAATTACCAGACTACCCTTAAGTAATTTCAGAGAGATGGACAGAACTGCCTGCTGCCTACCCCAATTCATCCTACACTTGTAACATATTTAATAAATTTTTGAAACATAAACAAACAAATTTCCAAAAGGTTGTATTACCATTAAAAGGTTAGCTAATAAAGCATAGCACCTGAGACTAGGATGGAATGCTTGTAATAAAAATTTGCAGATAAATGAAGGATTCCTATGTGAAGAATTCTTGTAACTCAACGTACATTGCTGATTCTGGACAACGCTCCAAAATCAAATGGCGATCATCTCCATCACCAACAGAGTTATGGGAAAACCTAGGATTTGAAAGCAAATATTCCCATCATTGACAAGCCAAAGGAAAGAAAAGATTTATATTTGAGAAAATAGTTAGGAATCCAGAAAAAAATGGAAAAAGCAACTACATTCAGATAATGCATAAACAGGATGAGAATCTAACAAAAAAGTATTAAAAAGAGACATACCCAAAAATATCTGCAAGGCGATGGACAAGAAGGCGGTTGTAAGGACTCATAGGTTCCAGCTCCAGGACCCCATCTGGACTGCAATTACATGGTGTAAAAATACATTTCTCACATTCATATTTTACACATATAGATTGATTCCCAGTTTCAGAAATTATAGGAGCTATGGGAGAAAAATGACAAAGAAAGAAGGAACATGAAATGCATCTGTTTTATAAGACTGAGCATTTCATAAAACTTGGGCAATAAATACAGATTCACCCCCTTCCCCCAACCAAGGTTTGCAATTTCGATATTGACAAACATTTCGCTATTAGGAAATAGAGAAATATCAGAGAAATTTTGCTAATTTTTCTAAGATATTTGGAAATTTTAAAAATAAAATGAAAACTGATAAAAATGGAATTTTTATTAGAACTTTGGTTATTATGATTTATGCATATATATATTAATATGTAGGGATCACTTATTTGGAATTTTTATTAGAACTTTGGTTACATAAGAGCTATCACACATTTATTAAAGGGTATATAAAAACTTATTTAAGGGTTTAATCATAAACAAATAGGGGCTTATTAATAATTAGTCAAAGTAAATGACTTATTCAAAAATAAATAAGTCCTTATTAAATAAATAAGGACTTATTAATAATTACCAAAGGATTTATTATGAATAACAATTTATGAAGGGTTTATATGTGAAATTTTTTAGGGGTTATTTAGTAATTACATAGGGACTTAATCAGTATTTGAAATTTATAAAGATTTCTTGTAATTTATAAACTTTTAACTTAAACCTTCAGTTATAAACTTGCAGAGAAGGTGAAAAACTCTTTGGTTTCTCCTCTCTTCTGTGATTCAGCTGTGATCTTACAACGAAGATATTTGAACATTTTTTAATATGAAGAAATAAGGAATAAGCCAAAAGGAGAATCAAAGCTTGCACAAGATGATGCTTCCAACTTCCTGCTCGCAAATCACATCGTGTAGGGTTTTGGAGCTCACAAATCTGATGGATGGGGCTAACCAGATAATCAAGGCTTGAGCACTCTTTTTCCATGCATTTTCAACTTTAATACGAGTAAAAATGTATCAAAGACAAAACTCCATTTTTGCGTCCCTTGACCGAAAGGTAAAATTGCACTCTACAAGCCTTTGTTTCCCTCTTTCTTCTTCTTTCTCCTTTCTCTATTTTTTTCTCTTTTAATCATTTTATGAGGTATTTTACACTTGTGGCATGTTGCTGATTTAGCTCCCGTTTGTAGTACCTTTTTGTTTTTTCCTTTTAGTTTAATAAAAAATATTAGATGGTTTTAACGAAATTTTAGCAATATATCGGCGATATAGGGAAAAAACGATTACATGATGGTATTATATCACCCCTAGCTATCTTCCAATATATTGGCGATATTTTGGCGATACTACAAACCATGCTCCCAACAGAATACACACAGACAGCCTGAAACAAGAGCTAAGGTATTATCAACAAAATGACAATGCACAAATCACTAAAAAGTCAAGAGCGTTAAACAGATAAATGACAGGAAGGAGGGAGGAAATCAATAAACTGACATTAAATATGATCAAGGTATATCTATTAAATTTTGAGTATTCATTTGATTCTTCTCAAGCTGTGAATATCCTAGAGCATTTTATGTGTAGGGAAAAAAATTCTGAGAAGCCTTTTGAAAAAGCATAAAGAGAATAACTGCTCAATTAGGCAAACCTGATATTTCGAAAGTGTCTTTACCTCAAGTTATGTACCTAGTTGTAGGGAACTACCATTGCAGTGGGAAAGCCATTTTCTATTGGAAATGTGGTTTTCATGTCCTCATTTAAAGCCAAATATCTTTGCACATTTGTCCTTTTTTATGAAAAAGGTGAAGTAAAATTTTATTGATCTGAAAATGAAATGATACAACAAATGGAAAGGGGTGCCAGTGCCAACAAAGAAAACCCAGCCTCAACTACATCAACCATCCCCATAACAATAGACAATTATAGAGTCGACTTGGGGACTGATCAGCAAACTCTTTGGATACAGAAATCCAGGAACCAATATTCTGCAAACCACAAAGTTGATGACTTGCTTAGAAACACCCTTCTATTCCTTTCAGTCCAGATGGTCCAGGTAATAGCTGCTCGGACTTTTCCATAAATGAAGCATTTATCATATAGTTATGCATCATGCATAACAAGGTCCTAAGGTAATATTGTATAATATTTAAGGCAGAGGGGAGAAACAGAAGGATTCAAGTTGGTGACAAAATGGAAGAAGGAAATCAAGGTTGAGGTGAAAAGTTTCTATTGAAAATTTGAAGATCAGAGGAAAAACATTGCTGAAGTTCAGAGAAGAGAAGAGAGCAAATGTTTTTCTGGTAAGGGATGTGGTGAGTTGGCTAAAGGGATTCCTCAATGTGGCAATGCAATCAGTCAGGCGCCAGGCTGGAGGAGCATTCTGAAAACGGAAGGGAAGAACTATTTGTCAGAACAAAGAAAAAACCTGAAAGGGTGGTTCCTCATGCTCATAGAGCAATTCAGACAAGGTCAAAGACAATTTGTATGTTTCCTGGAAGGTTGGAAGATGGTAGCAAAGTCTTTACATGAATACTTACAAAGGTGCAAAATGAGTCAAGAAGTTGAAGAAACAAGTAATGGAAATCAAGAGACCACACAAATCCAAAAATGAGGTGAAGAGTTGAAGGTATCTCTGGTTTGCTCTAAGATGGCTCTGAAAGTGGTTGAGTGCCAAGAGAGATGGGAGCAGAGAATGGAGGTTCCCATCAAGAAGGAGGTGGGGGATTGGCAAACAATTTTGGATGAGATTGTGAGTAGGCTAGAATTGAATGATACCAAAAACTTATTGTAAGAGGATGGATATGTTTAATTACCATGGCATCGCATCAGAGTATTGCAATTCCTTGGTATTTGGCCTCTGAGGTTCGCTAGTTGGCTGAGTCTCATAAAGGTATTTTCTGCCACATAGCCTCACAACACACATCAAATCCGCAGAACGGCAAATCCCATTACTAAGGTCTGGCCTTGCAACTCTTGTGTTCGGACAAAATAGTACTTTACATGTTAAAGGTATAGCAGCCCATATCCCACCACATGGTGAGATGAGGAAAACCACATAGGTTGGTACCTGGTCCTCCCCCTGGACATGCATCTTCACCCAAGGTGGTCCAAGATCCGGTGTTGCAACTAACAACCGCCTTAGAATATTCTGGAATGTTGAGGGTTGTTGATGCTCGGAATAGGCCGAGGACAACACTGTCAATTCGCTCCTAAGACGAGGTGTTGCTGAGTGGTCCGAGGTCCAAGGTGGCCAAGGACTAGTAGGCCGGTCCTGCAAGGAGTGAAGGAGGGAGGACGTTAGAGGCCCCGGGTCAGTACTCGAGGCGGAGACTCCAACGCTCAAGTTAGTACCAGGTGGTACGAGGTGGACGAAGCCTGAGGTATGAACACTCAAATGAGGCCACAAAGGAGAATAGGAGATCTCGAGTGCTTGCTCTTGAGTTCAGGTTCCAATCCCTTACCTTGAGGGGGCCACCTCCTATTTATACTTGAGGCTGCCTGGAGGTAGATGAGCCTGGACGTTTCGGATGCAGTTCGTATGCAGGGAGAGCGGCCATCGGATCTGTGCCATTGGTTCTGGAAAGCCCGTCGAGCACTGCTCTGCGTGCACGCTGATTGGATCCATTCTGTGTGTCGAAACCTAACGCATGCTGGCCTCCTATTGGACCGGACCACGAGCACCCACATCAAGGGTCATACGTGATTGCATGGCCAACTTTCCCTTTCCCTATAAATAGGGGATTTGGTCCCCTTGGGCAGGGGAACCTTTCAAAAACGTTCTCTCCCCACTTCAATGAGCTTTCATCGCCATCATAGTTGTTAATGCATCTAGGCAATTCTAAGCGACAGTAAGGCACCTAGGTGATACCCAAGCGATAAGAATTTCATTTAAAAAAAAAAACAACTAAGTTTTTCCTAGTTCTTTAGTTTCATATAAAATTTAGCATGCATATTAATTGGAAAATAACAATTTTATTTATTAATAACATTAAATTTCCTCTCAAAACATGGCAAACCAACATATCTAGGACAATAGTACTCCAATACTTCCAAAAATGGTTCTAATATAACAAGTATTTAAAAATGAAATTTCATTTAAATTAGCAACTAAAGAAGGTAATACTTTTATATGATAATAAAATTTAAGACAAAGAGTATGTAAAAGAGAAAATGAACAAGGGTGGAGCTGCTGTTTTATTTAATGTAAGAGAGAAAGATTATAAAAAAAGCAAAAAAGAAATAAACTTCTTTATATTTGCATTCTTTTTTTTTTTCTTTTTCTCTTCTCAAAACCTCTGGATTTTTTAAACTTCAATAGTAAAACTTTAAAACAAACTATAATGACATAAACACAAACAATATTAATAGAATGTAATAACATACATATTAGTAAGATGTAGCAATATGAATGATATTATAACAAGGTACCCACTTTGTCATTTTAGTCGCTTAGGCGGCACATTATCACCTAGATAGGCGCCTATTCACCTAGATAGGCACCTAATTACTATTATGAAGATGTTTAGGCAAGGCACCTAGCCAAGGGCACCTAATCGCCTTGTTGATGCCTAGGCGATGCCTTGACAACTATGACCACCATATCATCTTCAGCATCCAAGCTCAACTTTCAAAACCCCACAAACTATCCTTATATGATCCTTTTCTTGATGATCTTAATCAAGAATCTCTGGTTTTGGTTTTGATCTTGAGGAAGGATACCACCACAATGAGAAACTCCATGAGCAAATGAGCAACAGACTCCAGTAGAGGCAGTAGATCCAGCACCGCCAATGCCGGAGGTTGAATCTCCCTTGATTGAAGAGAGCCCAATGATAATTAGACAAGTTTGGAAGAGAAGCAACAAGAATGGTTGAATTGGTTGGAAGAGAAGCAGGATCAACTTTTCACTTGGCTACAAAAACTACTTTTAGCAACTGCAACAGCTATAGAGGCCATCAATGGCGGCGACAGCCCTAGTGACCAGAGTTTCGGCTCCACAAAGACCAGATCTGGAGCCTACAGTGTTCCCGCCTAGCTACCAAGCTTCCAATCCACCGCATTCCCCTGCAAATCAGCAGCAACAACTATCAAGGCCAGCACGCACCTCCCTGCAACCACCTTCTCTAGGCCAGTGCCCACTGTCTCTGGGGACATTGGATCTTGGATCTGCTGCGGAAGCACAGCAGTTCAGAGATCATTTGCAAAACATGACCAAGGAAGAGTTGATGGATCGTCTCCAGTCCATTATTGGATGTACTAGCAAAGCCAAATTCGCCTTGTATCAGCACCCCTCTCCCTTTAGAATCATGTAGAAACCATACCTTGGGGATACTATCCACCCTCTAGTTAGCAACTCTACAACAGCCAACATGGGAACATGCAGGAGCACATCAGTAAGTTTGAATATGCACTAGGTCCGTTCTCCAAATGGTAATCTGAAGGTAAGGGAGCTCTTGAGGACATTAACTAGCCCAGCTTATACATGGTTTATGAATTTCGCCGTAAATAGTATTCAACATTGGGAAGATCTAGTATAGAAGTTTCTAATGAAGTTCTTGAGGACATTAAATAGCCCAGCTTACCATGGAAAATTTGAGGAATGTCCGTCAAAGCAGCATGGAGGTACTGATAGAGGTTGTTATGCAATTCCAAAAGGTTGCAGTGTAACATTTTTTTTCTGATTTCTATGTTTTCCAGGATTTGACTTTTGGGAGAACGATTGGTACGGGTCTTGTAGTTGATGGTCTCTACATTCTGGATGAAGTTGCTGCTTTGGAGTCAAGTAATACAACAAGTTTTGTGAGTCAGTTTGAGAGTCCGTCTAATAAAGCCCAGCTTTTATTGTGGCATTACCGCTTGGGTCATTTGTCTTTTCTGTCTTTGGGAGTCTTGTTTCCAATGCATTTAAGTCAATGTCTGAGTCTTCACTTTAGTGCCCAACTTGTCCTTTAAACAAACATTGTAGAACAAGTTTTCCTCCAAGAAATAAAATTGCTGAGTTTCCATTTCAAATTGTTCACTCTGATGTATAGGGCCCTACTACTATTATTGTTGAAGGAGGTTACGGATATTTCATTAGTTTCACTGATGACTTCTCAAGATATACTTGTTTTTCAGCTTCCATACTTTGAACCTTTGACTCGAATTCGAATTTGAGAACAGACATCGAAATATTTGTTTCTGCTCCTATGAGAATTTGCTGATCCTGTGCAGCTTCTGTTCTGTTCAATGAGTTTTTTCCTTTTCTGCTATCCTCCAGTTTGCTTCTTCTCTCCCCTTCTACAATGGAAGATGATAAATCTGGTGAGGAATTAAATGAAGCACATCAGGTGACAGAAAGTCTGTTAGCAAAACAGATATCTGAGCTAGGTGAAGACCTTGCGAAACATGTGAGAATAATGGGCTCTTTCATGGAGATACCGGTAGAACCAATTGCTGAAGTGGAAGACCACATCCAGCGAACTCTCAGAGGATGTATCTTTCCTTGAATCCAGGTAGCGAAAGAAAATGTCAAGGCCTTTGTGAGAAGTGCATGGGCTCTTTGAGAGTAAGGATGATATGCAAAAGGTAGTGGATAGAGGGCCTTGGTTTATCCGTTCTAGCTGGATGCTGGTTGAAGATGGATAGATGTCAAACCTGGTAAAAAGGTAAAGATATGGCACCAGAAGGCTCTGGGTGCAGATGCATGATATCCCCCGTAGATTCATTTCGGACCATCACTACAAACTTTTTGCCTCTGCAACAGGAAGAGATTTGCCAGAAAATAAGGAAATTCAGATGAGTATTCCCACCAGAGGTAAGATGATTCATCTAAGGCTTGAAGTTGATCTCCGTAAATCTCTTTTCAGAGATTTCGCCCTCAACAACAATAACGAAACAACCTGGGTTCATTTTGCTTACAAAGGACTGACAAAACTATGTAGCTTCTGTGGTTTAGTCGGCCACTCTTGGAGAAAATGCATACAAATAACCCCCGGTACTTCTCTTAATCAGATTGCGAAAGAAATGGAAGATCGTATAGTAGACTCTCCGGGCGACTGGTAGAGAGCTGAACTTAAATCAGACCAACCTCTAAAGTATCCAGACCTTCGCTGAGGATACTCTCCTTGCCGGAAGTTACAGTTGGTCCACCGAGACTGGAATTCAGATGAAGACTTCGAAGAAGAAAGTGGCGCGGACAAAAAACAGAGACTGTCTGAAGGTACCCTTCAGCAGATCAACCTCTCTTCTGAGGAAAAGTCTAAAGGTCAGAAGTTGTAGCATGGAGGTGGCAAGTCGGGTGAGATCTTCGAAGCATAAGCAGAACGAGTCCAACTACAGTACAAATCACAAAAAAATAAGAATCACATGCAATGAGATTATAATTTGTCAGATAATTCAGAGAACAGTAAGGTGCATATATACTCCACCCTCTCCGGTGGTTTAACTCTGATTAATCAGACAACAGTAGCAAAAAGAAGAGGTCGTCCTGCTGGTTGGTAAGGTCTCCATCTGTCGTAGCAGAAACTTGGGATCAAATCCTGCCTGCACCTGAGTTGGGGGTGTTATGGGTTGGGGGATGGGCTACCCCCTGTTGTGTAGCCCTTCAGAACACATCAAAAAAAAAAAAAGAAGAGGTCGTTCTTTCAAGTGTGAAACCTCCCTCGAGGATTACCTAAAAGACAAATCCATAGGCAGATCCAAAGGAGCCACTTCACTAAAAATCTCAACCACTGAGAAAACCACTCAACCTGCAAATTTGGATTCCAATGCAAACAAGATGACAAAACAGACGAACAGTGCAGTCCCAGTGCTCCCATCAGAGCCCAGCCTGTTTCCCATTGAAGCTGAGGCGGCCCTCAAACAACTGGAACCTTTTGACAACTGGAGGATTCAGACTGGTGGAAGTATTGAGAAACTCTACCAAATTCCAAGCAGCAGCTTGCAGCTATAGCCACTCTGTTAATCCAGGTATTCGATACTCTCTATACTGTGTATTTTTCTTTAGTAGCCTCAATCTATTACATCTACTTTTACTTCTCTCTGCCTTCTTCTAGTTCTACTACTTTGGAAATGAAAATTATTGCTTGGAATGTTCGTGGGGGTGGGGGAAGAGAAACTCAATGTTCTATTAAAAAGATTTCAAATGATTATAACCCAGACTTCTTATTCCTCTGTGAAGCTAAACTCCCTCAGCAGGAAGCTTCAAAACTTTGTAAATGACGGAAATATTTTAACTTTAAAATAGTTGAAGTGCTAGGTCAAAGTGGAGGTCTAATCTGCTGCTGGAAAGATGGACTAAAAGTTGAATCTATTGATTCAAACAATAGACTTATTGAGCTGAAAGTCATACAAGGCCCACGAGGTAAAAGTTGGTCCCTTCTCTTCCTCTATGCCATCCAAGCAAAGGGTGATAGAGCTCTCTTCTGGCAATATTTCTCACAAAGCAAGAGCTATCTATTAGACAAACCTTGGATGATGATTGGTGATGTAAATGATATCTTGCTTCCAGAAGATTACGAAGGCTCAAGTCACCCCCCTCACATCTCTCTATCTCTGAAAGGCATTCTAAACACCTTCTCTCTCACTGAAGTTGGGAGTTCAGGCCCTTACTTTACTTGGTCAAATAAGCAGTTTGGAAAAAAGCTTGTTAAAGAAAGGCTAGATAGAGCCTTTGCTAGCCTTGACTGGCTGGACCTTTTCACAGAAGCCAAAGTCATAGTCAGTTACGATTCATTTGTCCCATGTTGGTAGTAATGGGATACTAACATGAGATATCCCACACCGGTAGTATGGAATACTATTGTGTGGTATATACGTGCTTGGGTTCCCTCCCTCTAACAGTTAGCTTTTAGGGGCGAGTTCTCCCAAGGCACATAACAAATGGTATCAGAGCCTACACCATGCCTCCCAGTTGTAATCGCGTGTCGCAGGTGGTGACATCGATATTGTTGTGTTCGGCCGGGACTAGGTGGACTAGTGCAAAGCAGCCTGTGTGGGCATCGAGACTGCGGAGCGTGGTGGAATGTTACAATTCATTTGTCCCACATTGGTATTATGGGATGCTAACGTGAGATATCCCACATCGGTAGTATGGGATGTTAGATAGTGTATGCCCTTAACTCCAATCAGACTGATGTACATGAACATTTATCTGTAAATGAATAAAGTACATTACTATTTCATGTTCATATTGGTATGTTTGTGTATTACCCCTTAAATTAGACACTTATAAGACTCGTGTTAGTTTAGAATTTTCTCAACCATTAGATAAACTTGGGGAGTTTATCCTAACAAGGCTAACATTGGTGTGTTGCCAAATAGTTGGAGCAACTTGTCTCACCTGCTAGGGTTAGACCCAAAGCACAAGTAGTGGGTGTTCGGAAGAAACACTGAACCCAGACAAATTTCCAGTTATACCTTGGACCTTGGAGATAGATAGGCAAAATTGAAAAGCTACACATAACCCAAAACTTGATTATGATACTGCACTAAGTAGTGGATCGGGCTGCATTTGATATGCCAACCAGTGAGATCCATCAAGGGTCAAATATCTGGGCATGTTGGGACAATTTGGGAAATTACTTGAGTGGATGATCATAGTGGTAGGATCGACCCCTTTGTCGGACAAAGTGAATATCAAGGTTTACACTCTCTCTAATGGAAACCCAAACTGATGGCAGTGGATTTCACCTGTGTTTGAAATCTGGTTTTGCAAAATATGTATATATATATTTTTATATTATTAATTTTATGAAAAAGGTTTACAAAAGGTTTTAATCTCGGGATCTATCTGAGCAGAGAGTGTAACACTGCACCTTGCAGCCAAAGGAGAAGTCCTTCCCTGTCGGGCAGTGTTCTGATGATTATGGGTCAAGATGATAAGTATAAGAAACCATTACAAGGCTGATTACCTAATGGGCTTTATCTCACATAAGTCCATTATCCTTGGGTCTTCATAGGGTGGCTGAACCCAAGGATCATTTAGGTGTAAATGTTGGGCCCAGACTGAGCCCATGTTGATTGGCTCAGGGGTTCACTACCCTAAGTAGTGAATTTGAACTAATCTATTTCAGAGGTGGGGTTGGACCCTCATGGACTTGTGTGAGACCTTTGTGGGGTCCCACGCCATATAATATCACGCCCAAAGTGGTCATGCAACAAATAGGGACGTGAGCCTTTAAGAGAAATGAGCCTAAGGCCCATTACTAATATGATTACTTAAATTTTCACATGACAACTTAAGTTGTCATGTGATTTGGGTCAAAACTAGGCTTGGATATGGGTATGGAGCATTTATCCTCTTAAGAGGATAATGTTTATCAAAAGAAAGGTTTGGATCATCTCTTAATTGGATTAAGAGTCTTGCTCCATAAAAAGATACAGAGAGAAGAGGGCGAATTCTTCTTGAATTCCTCTCATTCTTGATCTCTCTTCTTCTCTCTTGTCTCCCAAAAACCCTATCACGACCTAGGCTTTTCAATAACTGATTTCTATCAGTTTTCTCCAATGCTTTTGCAAGAAAAACATTGAAAAAATTCAGGCTCACTCATCCCACTCGATCCAAGTTAGTTAGATAGCAGATTTGCTAAAATCATAGTTGTTGAATCGATTTCTCCTGTACACTGCGCCATCTTTAGTTGGAGGACGATTTTGGGACTGATATTAGGCATGAACTACCACCTTGGGAGCTACAATTTATGGTCTCCATATCAGGTATAATCTCCTTTCAATTTGGTTTCAAACCTGGTCCGGTTAAGTGCAAGATCGATCCAAAAAATTCAGTTTTCAAATTCTTTGGGGAAAAAAACTTTCATTTTCTACCTATGTGAGCTGATCATGATGATTGTGAGAACTTGACTTTAAAGAACTAGAAAAAACATGTCCAAGGTTTGTTGGCCTATAAAATTATATGTAAATTGAAAAGTATCAAGGATGACCTAAAGAATTGGAACAAGTGCACCTTTGGAAATATAAATAAAAAAGTCAAAGATCTGGAGGAAGAGATTTAATCAATCCAACAGAACCCTCTGGACCCTTAAGCCACATGAAACTTAAAGATCTCAAAAATCAACAATCATTGGCTGACTTACGAAGAGAAGCTCTGGAGGTTAAAATCTCGTGAATTATGGTTAAAAGGGGATAGAAACACCAGATTTTTTCACCTCTAAACAAAGCAGAGAAGATGGAACAGCATTGAATGGCTAAAACAAGGCAATCAAAGTTGGGTGTCTAGAAGAGATCAGATAGGGAAAATCCTCAAAAATCACATTCTAAATATTTGTGGCCAAGAGGAAGAGTTCAACCCAAGACTTCTTGAAGGTCTAATCTCTCCAATTCTCTCAGAGGAAGAAAAGCCTCAACTAATCTTAATCCTTGATGAGAAAGAAGTTAAATCAGACCTCTTTGAAATGAATCCTCATAAATCACCAGGCCCTAATGGTTTTACTCTGTATTTCTTTCAGAAATACTGGCATATTCTAGGCAAATATCTCACAAAATTAATGCAAAATTTCTTTACCAGTGAAAATCTCTTAAGAGAGCTGAATCATACCCACTTAGTTTTTATTCCAAAGAAGGTTGGAGCTGAATCTGCTGATCACTACTGGCCTATCAGCCTATGCAATGTCACCTACAGGGTGATTGCAAAAGTGCTTGCTAATAGGCTAAAATCTCTCTTGCCTAATCTCTCCGAATCAAGTAGCTTACATAAAGGGCAGGCATATTACTGATAATATCATTCTAGCTAAGGAAATAGTACACAAATTAAAGCATCAAAAAGGAAAACAAAGATGGGCTACGCTCAAAATCGACATGGCAAAGGCTCTCAATAGGATGGGATGGAATTTCCTTCTTCAAACCCTACGGCAATTAGGTTTCCAGAGAAGTGGTGCAACCTAATTCAGCAATGTATCACTAGTTCACTACAATCTTTTTCCAATTAAACTAAATGGAAGCTCCATTGAATTTTTCCATACTAAGAGAGGTCTCCGGCAAGGAGACCCTCTCTCTCCTTACCTTTTCATAATAGGAATGCAGGTCCCCTCCAAACTGCTGGAAATGGAGGAGGTCGCGAGAAGGCTACAAGGAATTAAACTTGCAGGAAGCTCTACACCTCTTGTTTGTGGATGATTTTCTTCTAGTTTGTCAAGCCACTCCAGATTCCCTACTGGCAGTAAAATCAGCTCTAATTCTCTTTGAAAGGATAGCAGGGCACCAAGTCAGCTACAACAAATCCGGCATCATTTTCAGCAGGAACACCCATCGAGTCCATCAAAAACTTCTTTGCAGACTCATGGGTATGAAAATAATGAACTTCAATAGCAAATATTTGGGGCCGTGGACTGATGAACAAAGAAACAAAAGCAAACCTTACAAAGAAGTGATCACCAAAGTTGAAAATAAACTAGATACTTGGAAGGCCAAAGTTTTATCTCAAGCAAGAAGAACCACCATATTACAAGCTGTAATACAAAGTATTCCATCCTATCTTATGGTCACAAATCTGCTGCCTAAGACGGTTTTGTTAAAGCTCGAAAGGATGCAAAGAAATTTCTGGTGGCAAGGTGATAAAGGAAAAGATTTTGGTCACAATATATCTTGGAAAAAAAATTTGTAGACCAAAAAATGCCGGTGGTTTAGGCCTCAGATTAGCTGAACCCATGAACAAAGCGCTTTTTGCAAAACAATTTTGTACATTCCTCAATGGTGGATAAGAACTTTGGATAGATCAATGAAAGACAAAATACTTGAAAAACAAGAACTTCTTCAAATGCAAGGCAAAACAGTCACATTCTTGGTGGTGAAAGTGCATTCTAAAGATAAGAGATCAAATCTCCTCTCATCTCTGTTGGAGGGTTGGAAGGGGAGAAAAAATAAATGCCCTAATTGACCCATGGATTCCATGGCTAATCAATAACAAGCCTCTGATTAAAGCTTCATCAGCCCCTCATCAAGAGAATCAAAGGTGGACTGTTAAAGACCTCATTACAGAACAAAGAGAGTGGAATGAGAGACTCCTCCATCAACTCTTTGAAGCCAGCTCGGTCAATGCAATTCAAAACATCCCTATCAATCCTCAAAGAAAGGAGATTTTTCAGTTTGCTCTGGTCGACAAAAGCTCCCTACAAATGCCAGATATTTGGATGGAAAAATCTGTTAAATGGAGTTAAAACTAAGCAAGCAAACCGGTGCTTAAGAAGTAAAGGAGATACTAGCTGTACTTTCTGCAATGGTGCTCCAGAAACCCAGCTTATCTTTTCTTTGAGTGCCTGGCGAGGGCAATCTGGTTAGATGCCCAAGTTGGGTTTAAACCAGAAGACTTCATCTCCTCGAGGTCACTTGACTTCCTAGATTGGTGGTCAAAGAGATACTCTGGATCAAAGGAAATGAAAAATTACTTCATGGGTAGGATTTTAGCCATTCTTCGTAGCATTTGGGATCACAGAAACGATGTGATCTTCAGAGGCAAATCACCAAATCCTCGTGAAATTGCCTTACTAGCAGACAGGTATGTCCCACGAACAGGAAATCTTCAGTTTGCTGAAAATCCTAATGAACAAAATTCTACAGATTTCCTCTCCCTCCATTGGTTCTCTTTTAGTTCTCACTCCCTGGTCATTGTGGATGGATCCTGGGACATTAATACTCACTCAACTTCCACAGGTTTATATTTGTTATCTTACCCCCACAATGTTGGCATTGCAGAAGGACAACCATGCCAAGCAAATCACCCCTCAGAAGCTGAACTCTGGGCAGTCATCTGAGGCTTAAGAAGACTAGTTCTTCTAGGAATCCTGAAAGCTACTCTAATATCTGAGGAAAAGGAAGTCTTGTTAAAGCTAAAGGGAGCCACTGAAAACATTAGATGGAATGAACAAGCTTCACTGGATCAAACCAAGTACATTCTTACTCTTTTTGATAATATAATCTGATCTATGCAAATAGTAAAGAAGTTGTTGTTCACTCTAGCCAGAAAAGTTAATGTAAATAGAACTCAGTCTTTTTGTACTAGCTTACCCCCCTTAGCTTCAAATTGTCACTTCTGTAAAAGGGGTCTCCTTTTTGTATCCTTGATGTTTTAAGTGGATCCTTTTACCAAAAAATTAAAAAAAAAAAAAAAAGACACACTTGGATTTATTTACTTTGTTCATGAGAAGAAGTTCCAAAATGTATATTATCAAAATTAGTTTTTTTCCCAGCACAGTACCATTCATCTAAATACTTGCCCCAGGACTTCGCAACAGAATGGTATTGCTGAGAGGAAGAACAGGCATCTCTTTGAAATGGCTCGTAGTTTGATGTTGCATATGCATGTGCCTAAGAGATTCTGGGTTGATGTTGTATTGAAAGCTGCATTTCTTATCAACTGTATGCCTACTCGTGTTCTCAAGTTCAAGGCCCCACACTAGCTCTTGTTTCATCAGTCCCCACTATTTTCTATACCTGTCCATACTTTTAGATGTCAGTGTTTTGCCCAGGATTTGTCAGTGTCCCGTGGTAAGGTAAGCTTGACCTGTGTTCTATTCCTTGTATTTTTCTGGGATATCCCACCATTCAAATTGGTACAAGTGTTATGAGCTCTCTTCTCATCGCACTTTCATCTCCATGGATGTGTCTTTTTCTTTTAAAGTTTAAACTGAAAAGAAAAAGACCCATTAAACCCAGAGCAATCTTTCTCTAAAAATATTAAATAAATAAATAATATTAAGTATAGAAGACCAGGAAAATGAAAAGAATTAAGTAAACAAGACCTAAACATCCTTGCCAATTTGCACCTAGGTGCCACATAAAAGCTTGTTTCCTGTTTACAAAGTACTTTCTGAGTTTTTTTTTTTTTCTTTTTCTGCCTCCCTTAACTTTTCTCTCTTTCCTTTCCAACTCTTTTAATCATGGTTGGATCACAAATGTAAATAATGAAAACCACAGAAATAATCATCAAGGACACTCCCCCATTATTTAAGTGCAATATCACCTTGCATCATCCTGAAGAAGGTTAACCAACGTTTCCTCCATAGAGAGAACAAGATGCTTGCAGGGAAGGTTATCCTTGATAAGAAGTGCCAACTCCTCAACCTGCAGTTTAAAGTTTGATGATGATACTTAAATGCAACAATGGAACAAATTAAATAACACAAAGTTATAGGAACCTAATAACCAAGGAAAACATCAAAACCAGCACCAGTTAATATCAAACACAGCAAGATCAAGAAGAACATTGCATAAAACTTCCCAACAAATGAACAAGACATAATTTTGTTTAAAACTAGAAAGCATTCCATGTAAAACAACAAAAAAGTCCATTAACTGCAACAAATTTTGCCCTGGGAGTTGGAACAAGCAAGAAGTAAAACTGAATTCAAAGATGAGGTATGTGAAACTCAACTGCTCGGAAAAGGAAATTGGAACTAAATGACTTATTTTATAGGAAACTTCTGAACTAGTAAGATTGTTGCCTTCACTACTAGCAAAGAAAGGGGAAAAAAGGCAAATTTCTAAATTTAAATACAACCAAAACACGACTTTGTGCCAAGAATGTTTGACCTGTTAGGCTGTCACCGGATTGGACAAAATTGGAAATATGAGATGCAAAAGGAAACATAAATCCGCAACATTAAGGATGTCATGGTTTTGCTCCAAAGACAAAGCCATCTGAGATCTGGAAAGTAGAAGACCGTATACCAAGTTTTTCCATTGTTCTAGTGTAAAGTTGAATCCATAGAAGGACTAGTTTTTTTGAGACCCCTTAATTTTCACTTCCTCAAGCTTTTCCACTTCCACCCATTCAAATCCAAACGCAGCCTTATGGAAATAATCCCACAATCAAAATATTCAAAAGAATATGATATAAGGGCAGGCTTCTAATTTTATCCGAAAAGAAACATATCTACCACCAAAATAACCGGTTGCAATCATAATCTAAATGCAGGTTGCTCAGTAGATGACTCCGAACAGCTTTTTAATAAGAAAGCTAAATCGTTTTAAGATTCCTCAAAGTTCTTGGTATCATACGAAGGTGCAGCTTAATATATGTAACTGATTTTTAACTGACTGGCATGGAAGCTAAAGCATGGAAAGAACCTCCAATTCACAATTTTAGCATAATTTCACTTATCAATCATGAAGAATTGAACCAGAAGAAGTAAACAAAAAAAAAAATAGCACCACTTTAAATTAACAAACTAAAGAAAAAAAAAACAAGAACAAAGACTAAGAAAGATGTAGGGAGACTACCATTGCAAATTGAGTGATGCTCATCCTGGAATTTTGTATTGGAAATTAAAAAACCACAGAGGAATAATGTTGGCAAAAGCTCTCGTGCACGAAATTTTGTAATGAAACCCTAGAAAGTGAAGAACCTAGATTTGATTTTAAGTCTGGTTCTTTTTCTTGGTTTTGGTTCAAGGTTTCTTACAGGAAAACCGCTGCCGCAAAGGTTTAAGGGACATCGATACGCGGGAGAAGACAAGCCAAATTGCCGGGGGGGAACAGAAATAGATAAGGTTTCCAATTTTCGTTACTCACAGTCACACGTCACCTTAGGAAGCCTAGACGCCTATGCAGAACCCGAGATGGGGTTGACTGTGTCCCTTGTTGAAAATGGTCCGTTTTAGCAAGATAACATCCAGGCCAGGAGACCGGATCTGCTCCTCACACCTAGCGTCTCACACACACATCTTATCATACATTGACAACATTTCCCGTATTTATTTGTTATTATTCACGGGAGATGTTCTCAATGCATAGTAGATGTGCATGTGAGGCGTCAATTTGTGAGGAACAGATCCTCTCACCCAAGCTAGGGGTGCAACTTGGGCGGACTCAATCCAAACCCGAATCGGCCCAATTCAAAATTTTACACGGGTTGGACTTGGATTTTCGGTCCTCATGTCGAGCTCGGGCCCAAAAAGTTAGGTATTTTATATTTTTTAAGCCAAGCTCGGGCCAGCCCTTAGGTAGCTTGAACCTGGCCTGAACCCGACCCAATTATATATATTTATACATACATACATATATATATATACACATATTTGTATATATAACATTTATATAAATATTTTGCGTACATATTTACATACATACATAAATATATGTATATATATACATATTTGTATATATATCATTTATATAGATATTTTGCATACATATTTACATACATACATAAATATATGTATATATATATTTGCATAAATACATTTATATATGTATAACTTTAGAGTGGGTTCATTGACCAACCCGAGCCCGAGCCCAACCCGAGTGTAGCAAATTATAGGACAGGCTGGGCTTGGATTGAGAAAATCTGGTTGGACTTCGGGCTCGAGCCAGGCTCGAGCTTTAAGCCCAAATTTTAGGGCTAGGCCTAGTTGACATAAACCCGGCCCAACCCGCCCGACTTGCACTTCTCAAATCATATAAACATAGAAACCTCCATTGGATCAAAACCACTCTCTCTCTCTCTCTCTCTCTCTCTCTCTCTCTCTCTCTCTTCCTCTCTTTCTCTCTTCCTTTTTTGGATCAAAACCTCCATTGCCCGATTCTTAGACCATTGCAGCTTGCAGCTTGACCAGTGACCACCACCATGGATTCCATTGCCTATACATATAAACATAGAAAAAAGATGAGAGAAGAACAAGAACAAGAACAAGAAACAAAGAAACAAAGGAAAAAAAGGAAAAAATAGTAAATTACAAATTACCACTTTGTACTTCAGAGGTAGTGACACAGGCACTTGAACTTTCATTCATGACAAAGACGCCCCCTAAACTTTCAAACTTTGACATTTTGCCCCAATCCAACTAACGGAATTGATAAAAAAGATAAAATTACTAAACTACCCATTTGAGATTACTGTACTCTCAAATCATATTCCAAGAAAGCCCTGTTTCTAAACCAATAAGGAATGGCATCCTAACCATTGTGCTTGGGCTTAAGATGGTTTTCCAATGAGACCTCACCGATTTTTCTAGACTATTACTTATAGATTGACTTATACAACAATATTTAAAAAGAAATGACTGAACCACTAAGATATGCCAAAAAAATTGTAAGCCAAGTGTGAGCACCCAATTAATTTGGGGTGCACTTTATGGCTGAAATGTGAAGGAGCCGCCATCTATCTAAGAAATAAACATGAAAGTAATGGGCCTCCCATGTCAATATGACTCTCATGCCCAATTTAAATCTTTTCTAAGTACTTTTAGAGGAGAAATGGAAGGTGTTAGACACCCCTCTCCTGTAAGCAACATATAGTACCAATTCTCCAAGAAAATGAGCAAATGAATGAGTTAAAAACTTGAAAATTTTTAGTCACTCCTATATTGAAACTTTCCCATGCCAAGAAAATAATGAACACTTTGAACACTTCAATCCACTAAGACGATTTCAAAGACTTTTATTGGAGCAAAGAAAGATTGAGGTCTCATCCCCTATCTTTTTTATCCAATAATACTTCTACAAGAGCAAGCTCCATTCTAGGGTTGAAGCAAGGAAGTAGGGAGATCTCCTCTCAACCCCTTTTTATCCAACACTAGGCATTTTACAAGAAGGCAAAGTGAATTGAGTTGTTTAAGGATTGCATTATTCTCTTAATAGCCACTCAAATTCTCTAACAAGTTATTGTAACATGTTTCCTAAACTTTACCACAATGAAACCAATATAAAAAATTGTATAATATCATCCAACAACATGAGAAACGAATGCTAAAAGTAGGAAACTAACCAGAATATTAACAAAATTGAAGAAAAGAAAAGGACAAGGATAATAATAAAAGACAATACAATGAGGTGGGGAATTCACCACTTTATGGCCTTTGGTCAAACCCTCCAAGAGTAGTAAAAGGTTTTGTTGACAATTCGAATTTGAGCTACACAATGGGGGATTCCTTCTTGCTTTATTTTTTGGCTAAATGTGGTATTCTCTCTTGATGTATAATCAAATGGGGGAGTTGGCTTTTCTCTTTTTTCTTCTTTTTTTTTTGTTTTTCCTTCTTCCTTCTTTTTCTTCTTCCTTAAGCTAGTTTGGCCTTAGGGTCCAAGGTTCTTGGACTAGATTTCTTCAATAGGGTTCGATTGGGTTAATGGAGTGAATCAAAGGGAAAGAGAGAGGATAGGGTTTGGTAGTGAGTGGGAAGATGGAGATCGAAGAGGTTAGGGTTTTGATTTCAGTTGGGAGAGTGAGGGGGAGTGGAGAGGAAAATGGATTTAGGGTTTGAATTTGGGTGATGGAGGAAGGAAAAGAGGTAGGAGATGGTGGTGGTGTGTGTGAGAAAGGGATTAAGGTTTCTTACCTGGCCGAAAATGGATGGGAGACTCTCTTTTCCCCCTCTTTTTCATTGGGAGAACCAGCCCCTTTTTCTCTTTCTTCTTCTCCCTTCTTCTTCACATGGCTGATTGTAGAGTTTTATTTTCTCTCTCTTTTTTTATGTTTGTTTGTTTCTTTTTTTGTGTAGATGGAGGAAGGTTGATGGGGGCTGGTTTGATTGTGAGTGAGAGAGGGTGAGAAGGGTTTGGTTGTGAATGAGGGAGGGTGAAAAGTTATACCTGGCTAAGGAACAAACAACATGTGGGTGGCAGTGAAGATAAAGGGAGTATGTTGGGTGGTGGCATTGGACACAGGCTGCAATGCGAAAGGAGTCAGATTACTGAAAAAAGGCACAGTAGTGGTTGTAGGGGTACTGGTAGGTAGAGGAATTGTAAGAGTCACGGTAGGTAAAGTGAACAACTAAGATTGAGTTGCAAGTTAGGCTAAGACCTCATCCAACTTTTCTTGGAGTTTCAAGTATTCAGTAGGGAACCATGGTTGGCTCCCCTATTTCCCCTCCGCGGGCCTATACTTGGGCTTCAAGATGGGAGGACATTGGCATGTTTGCTGGTAGGTTGGTCTATGCCATCACACAAGCAATGGGTTGAGTTACGATTCTTCTTGCAAATTGCCATTGTTTTGCAATTTTGAAATATTGTCTTAAAAACGATTACCCTTAATAGAAATTGAACATTCTTGTTTATTTTTATTACTTGTTTTCACTTTTCTCATTGTTCCTTTCTTTCTTCTTTTTTCTCGA